GTTGTTTTTTTTCATTAGGGTCCTGGGGGAGTGCCATATGTGGGGTTTTGTTTTCCATGACCTTTTGCTTTGGTTTGGGATGGGGTTGGTTGGTGGTGCCGGTGGCCCTGGGGACACCGACTTTAAGGGGGGCCAGTGTGACAACCCCTGCTTCACTGCCTATGCTGGTGTGGGTGTGCCTGTGTGTGGGTGGGTGTGCTTCTCTCTCCCTGATTGTATCCAGGTGCAGCCTCTCTCCAGGTGCTCCCAATCTGATCAGCGCCTCCATAAAGAATCTAAGTAGGCTGCAGTGGCTCTCTCTCTGCCCGGGGGAACGTAGGAGGAAGAGCAGCCCGGAACAGCTATCCTCCTGCATAGAGCTTGTTAACCCTGTTTGGTGGTCGGTTGTTTTGGGGAGCGTGAATAAACTCCTCTTTTTTCCATACTCACGTCGTCGTCTCATCGCTGCGTTTGTTATGGCTGAGAGCCAAGCCGTGACACCCCCCAAACCCTTCGTGGTATTTCGTCCGCACGCATTTTTCAGGGCAATCTCTATTGGGCTCAGGGCCATCTGTAAATTAGCTTAAATGGCCCACAATGTCAAAACCTTAGATATCGTGTTGAAATATGCTGCTCAACAGCATTTCCACCAGGGGGGCGTCTTGCCGTCATTTGACGCTCTTATTCAGCTCGGAACGCCCGGAACTGGAGCCGAGGGCATCCAAAAAAAAATTGAGAAGATCGAGAGTTTTTATCGCTTGAAATGAAGAAAAAGGACAAGGACAAGGACATCCCTCTGTTGGAGGGGCAAAGGAGTCTGGTGGGATTATTTTTTCCGTCAGCAAAGCGCGTTCATGTGACGAAAAAAATAAAAACACCGCCGCATCTTCCAAGGACCGTGCCAGCAGGGGTGTCCCTGTCGGCAGGGAGACGTTAAGAGATAGTATGAGGGAAGGCGCAATTCAAAATTGTGTGTGCGCATATGTAAAGAGATAGTATCTATAAGGGACGGCTCAATTCAAAATTCAAGTCACGAATTGAATTTTCAAATCTCCCCCCCAGTGAGTGAAACGATAGACTTTTTGCAGTAAACACAGTATTATAAATACACAGTAAACACAGTATTATAAATACACAGTAAACACAGTATTATAAATACACAGTAAACACAGTATTATAAATACACAGTAAACACAGTATTATAAATACACAGTAAACACAGTATTATAAATACACAGTATGGAGGTAACACTCACCGAACAGGTAGATCATGCCCACGGCTCCTCCGACCCCCATTAAGGCCGCCAGTCTAAGAACTATCTTCTTAGCGTAGGCCGTGTTGTCATTCTGCTTCTTCTCTTGCTTCTGTTCTCCCTCCTTCTCCCCCTCACCAGGCTGGCCCTAAACAACAACAAGATATTAGAATATATCAATATTGTGTTTAACAAGGATAATGCAGGGGATTTAGCCTGAAATGAGTGGTGATGAATACTACCCGATTACATCCTAATACTTAAAGGTGGGGTAGGTAATTCACTTCAGAAACCCTTGCTGTTATATTCCATGGAATGCTCTTAACATCCCGATAGCAATGAATATATTAAACGCTTTGACAATAAATACATAAAAAACATTTCATCTGTGGAAGCCGTGGCGCTGTAAAAAGCACGACCAATCATCTGAGCCGGCCCGGCTAAAGTAACTGGATGGCCTACCTGCCTGTCAGCCTTCCATCTGTGCACAAACTTATCTCGTGCCCTCATTGGTCATGTGCGCGTTTGTGTGTGTTGGAGGAGGGGCTCTGTGAGGAAGGGGCAGATTTTTTTGGGCTGCAAACTTTCAAATTCTAGCACACTCGAGCTGGTTTCTCCAAAATGACATACCCTACCTTTGAGTCAAACACAGATCACTTATATTATAAATATATATAATTGTTTTGATTTAAATGTTGTGCAGGAGGACGCTGGCCCTGGACAATAACAACAAATAAAAACAGTGAACAATTTGCACATACAGTGAGTGCACACTACTAACGCTACCTCACAGGATTTATTTTACTTTTCATTTCAAGCTACTGCGCCAATTTTTTGTAATGTTTATACTACACTATGATTATATGTTTAGTAGATTGGTATATTAGAGAGTATTATCATCTTTTCTGGATATTTCAGTGTGTGTGTGTGTGTGTGTGTGTGTGTGTGTGTGTGTGTGTGTGTGTGTGTGTGTGTCATGTATAAATCTGGGGATTTAGCCTGAAATTTGTGGTAAACAGTACCAGATTACATCCTAATTCCTAATTCAAACACAGTTCAAGTCAAGACCAAATGTATGTTGAATATATTGAATTTTACAAGTTACATGCTGTTTCAAATGTTTACTTGTTGTCTTTGTTTATGTAACACGGAGCTGCGGTGATGCAAGAAGAATATTACTTTTGGTCCGATGATATCAAGCATCACCTCATCATTGATAGTAGGGGTTTTTAATATTAATTGATTTCCTTAGATAATAATCTCTTGGTTATTTTGGGATTAACCAATGAATTAACCTTTTGGCCTATAAATAGGTAAATACAAAAGATCCAATCAAATGTCCCCAAGAATAGAGCGATGTCTTGAAAAAAGGGCTAAAGTAGATGAAATATCACAATGTGTTTGACCCAATACCTTGAACATATTGCCACAACACTGTAGGGTTGACTATTGAAGCTTTCAAAAAAAGGTAATCATCATTCATGCATATAATCTGATTAATTGGGTAAACAATTAAGACTGTCAACTGTTATGCAACAGTGTGGGGACATAAAAGGGGTTCATTTGTCTTATGTTGGAGTCATATATTAAACATACCTCATTAAATATCTGAATTACACAGTTTCTTATGCTAAAATAGACATTACTGAAGGGAAGAAGAAGGTATCAGCTGATGACAAACTTCTGAACTGTGGTGCAAGTCATTGTTTTTGTCATTTATTTGACATTTTACCCAAATAATCTATCTTTCAGTCACATGTGGTCAGTGTGCTGCAGATTTGTGGGTTTCCGGGTGGGTCTCATAAGAAGTAAAGGCGGGGAAGACAGGGGAGAAAAGGGGGTGGGGGTCTGTTATGACCTTCAAACCAAACAAACCTTGGCTGTCATCACAGTTCATCTAGCAGCTGCTGATTTACAGATAACATGGAGCTCTATCAAGGACAGATAGTTTAATATGAGTGTCTTTGAGGAGCTAAAACTAGCCCTAATGATGTCAGTGAGCTATAGAGATAAGGCTAACATGATGCTAACTCTTACAGCTAACCAGTGTAAGACAGCTTTATTTTAACTCATTATTCTGTTGGTAAATGTAACACACAGTCACAAGTAAAGCCTGTTAAACTAACGTGTCTCTAACATGTGTTACAGAGAGATACACCTGTAAAAACGCATGCTATTAAGATGCTAACCTGTTAGCAACCCTAATAGCAGGTTCATTCATTCAGAAAACACGCAAAATGCAGTCGAATTATTACATTAATAGAGTTGGCATTTAATTGTGACAAATAACACAAGAGTATTAAACCATTACAGTTGGTCATGTGTTGAATATAAGCCACATATTAAGATGTAAAATAGCTTTTTAGCCTAACCTACAAGCTAGAAATGTCAGAGAAGTGGCTTCGATTTTATTTACACGGGCATCTCATGTAGGCTGGGTTGCATTCGATGTAATGTTAACGCTATCCCCGCCCGCCACGCCGGTAACCAAATCGAGCGCACATAAGTAGGTTATCTGTCCCCACCTGATTCTGGTGCTGGAGCTTCGTTTGTAAAATAGCCTGAGCCAATCCGCCCGTAGCACTGCTATTCCCGGCTGGAGGCTTGTCCGTTGAGAGGGTCCGGACCAGGTCCAGCACAGCCGGGGAAGAGGCACCTTCTGCCCGGTTCCTGAGCCTCAGGAGGCCCCTAGTCGTCCGCAAACACATGGGGAACACAGCCGACATGTTGGAGGTTTCAGCTTCAGCACGGTGCCCGGCGGAATATAATGTGAAAAGGACAAAGGCACCTGATTGGCTGCAGGAAGTTGGAGTGACAGGCAGGAGGAGGGTTCAGAGCAGCGATAGGCCCATAGGAGCAAGGGGAGGGCGGGCGCTATGGTGTCTTGACCAATCAGAAGCAAGTGTGAGTGTGACCTTCGATTGCGACATAAGACTGCCATGTTTGTTTGGGGCAAAATGACCCAAAGTCTGCTCAGTTATGTCACCTGTATATTTTTAAGTCATAAAAAGCATGTTTATTGACAGTCTATATATATTATACTATTTTACAATATACTGTATTATACTACTGTAGCCTATGTTATACTCGAATTTAGTTTAAATATTTAAATTATACTCTATTGTTATATTGCTCTAAAGTATGTAAATAATTATGCTACTTTATATCATACTAATGTCACAATTCATCACCTGTATCCCCAAAACGTGTTCAAAAACCTTAGATATCGTCTATCAACTCCAAGCAATTCAGCAATTCTGTATTATTTTAATTAACTTTATTCATACGAGACCTCTAAAACACATTTACAAAGTGCAATCTAATAAAAAGGAACACATTTTTATGAAGAAATCTCTTTTAAGTGCTTTTTGGTAATGTCATTCTTACCTCCAGCAAATTGAGTGGAAACTAAATATAACCCACCTTGTATGAAGACATTAAAATGACTGTCTTTTGAATAATAATATGTATCTCCTGTTTAGTGCACATTAACTTGTGTATTTGTTTATTATTAGGGTTTAGCAGAATACCATTACTGTGTGTGCACTGCCCTCAAGTGACCAAAGACAAAAACTGCATCCATTTCAGAAAACAAATATATTACAACTATATTTTATTTTGATATAAAAATTAAAAGTGAATCTTAACATGCGAAGAAAATGGCAAACGATACCCAAACACGAGTATGACTAAAGAAGCCAAATAAAAGTTAGCCGAGTAACATTGATTATTCTTTAAGATAATATATAACTTAATAAACCCCAAAATAAATGATTCCTTCAGAGATTGCTCAGAAATCACCAACACAGCATCAGAAAGGAAAACAATAGAGTAAATCAAAGTGTACAATGAGTTATCTGTGTTACATGAGCAGCAGTGTGTTTAGGCATTAAACATTGAATAAAGTACAGTCTTAATAAAATCCCAAAATAAACAGCACATTTTAAAATGTAAACATTTCAATAGAGTCACAATAAAGGTGAGCGAAATTTCGTAGAAATAGGAAGCTATAGAAAGTAACAATATTTACAGTATTATTTTCACATAGAAATAATGATGATATTTTGCCATATGTTCATGTATTCCTTAATATAAAGTTGTTTTTTCTGTTTTAACCTGAAATACAAAACTATCCATTCAGTACTTTACACTTGCTCTTGGAGACCCTTCCGTACTTCAAGGGAAAGGTGAACTGCGCCTCCAAGGTTCATCGTCAAACACGGTTTGCTGTTCTAAGGCCTCCTCTTCCGTATCCACCTCAATGAGCTCTCTGATAATCTTGTCTAAGTGTTCGTTGAGCTTCTCCTCGATTTTAGCCACCGCTCTCAAGACTTCCTCTACTTGCAGGAGAATTTTGCGTTCTGTATAGCGATGCCTTGTGTTTGTTGCAGAGGGGATGGATGGTAGGTTCTGCAGGAGTTGAAATTCGTCCTCTGTCTTTAAAAATTCTTCCATCTTCAGACTCATCTCACGGAGTTCTGCGAGCTCCAGCCCGAGCTGTCTCTTTAGTGCTTTATCCCTTTGCTCTGCGGCTTCCTGCTTCTCCTCCAAAACATCCATCAGCTTAGCTCTTTTACTGAGGACTGCGGCAACCAAACCATCGAAGGCTTGGTTCGTTTCCACCTTAGTTTCCTCCACCTTCTGCCTACTTTCCATCATCAAGTTTTCCACTCTTATAACCGTGTTGCATTTATCTGATATAGCGTTGTCAATAGGTGTTTTTGAACGCTGCAGAAAAGTTTTCCTCGCCTTAAACTCTTCCTCCAAAGAGACGACGTCATGCCCCACATGGTCTTCCTTCAGGCACACGGGACAAAGGCAGCACTGGTCTCTCTTGCAGAAAGACTCCATCACTTTGTTGTGCTTCCTGCAGACCCTTTCCTCGAGGGAATCCACGGGGTTGATCAGCTGGTGCCACTTTAACTTCTGCACGGTGCGATGGGGCTTCAGGTGAGCGACGCAGTAAGAGGCCGAACAAACCAGGCAGGATTTCACAGCCTTACGTTTCCTATTCCCCTCGCAGAGGTCACAGGGCACGTCTCCAGGCCCGGCCGGGGATCCTCCATCCTCACCTGCTTTTGGAAAATTAAAATTAAAAATGTTTCGCATACATTTTTCATTCAGCACTTTCTGTCCGTCTGTACATGCCAGTATATATTCCTTGATTAAATTATTGACATTATAAGTCCTCCTGTCTGCCTGCTGAATCTGGAAATGAAGACATTTCAGAATGTGATGATTTGAAAAACAATATCAAGGACCTTTTTATTATTATTATTTAATTTTTTCCCTTTTCTTTTTTTAACTGCGGTCCTTTAAACACTGGATATGTTTTACAAATAAAGTAAAATTATTCCGATCCAAAACATTACTTTTTCAATAATGATCACTACATTTTCTTAAATTTTTTATTATATATATATTGGTTACATTACCAAAACATTTCTTTAAAATGGGTTCAGTATTAAAACATAACATTATTTTAAAACAGGAAAACATACCTTCATCAAAATACTATAATCTTTAAATCCAAGGCAATGAATACATTTAATTTTGTTTTTTATTCTAGATGAAAAAAATCCAAAACAAAATGAAATTCTTTGTAAAATACAAATTCAGAACATTTTGGGAATTTGAGTCACCTGCTTGTTTGTTCTTCTTGGAAATCTCCAACATGTCTCTGAACGCGGTGTTGACTCTCAGTTTGGGGGCTGTCCGGAAGGTTTCTTGGCACAGCGGACACTGGATGATGTCCCTGGAGCTCCAGTAGCGGCTGATGCAGGCCCGGCAGTAGTTGTGTCCACAGGGAGTGGAAACAGGCTCCGTGAAAACATCCAAACAGATGGAGCACAGAAACTCCTCTGAAATGTTTGCAGAGGCCATTTCTGCAGGGAAAGACAGAAGAGAGGGGTTAGGTACTTCTTAACTTTCCAATGACCGCACTGCAACGTCGTTTGACATTCTTTACTTAAAGGTTCCCTATCATGCAAAATGTACTTTTTGATATATTTTATACATAAATCTGTGTCCCCGGTGTCTCAGGAGACTCACAAAGTGTCAGAAAAAAAACCCTCTCTTTTCCTCCGTACCCACATCTCTAAAAACGGGGGAACAACGGAGCTGATCCAGATTTGCTGCCGATGTAATATCTGAAATGTGGGCTGGCTTTACACGCACGGCCCTATCAGAAACTTTGCTATCAGAAACAATGCCTGACTGTTTTGGATGTAATATGGTCTTTGTTTACATTAGCAAGCATCGCTAACACCCAGAGCTAACGTACTGGAGAGAGTATGTGTAAAGAAGCAGGATATTAAAGGTAGACCTACTAAACCTGAGAGAAAAAATGATCTGTTTGGTATTTTGAGCAAAACACTTCAGAGCCATGTTTTGTATTGATATGGCCATATAATATATTGTTCAAATATAGCGTAATAGGTGAGCTTTAAGTGAAAGCAGCAATTCTGACTTGAAAGTCCGAATTCTGAGAAAAAAGTCAGAATTCTGACTTTTTTTTAGAACAAAATAACCTTTTTGTTGCCATAAACCTCTTCCGTAAGTCTAGCAACATTCTCTCTAACCATTTTTTATTGTTTTTGTATGTCTTAAATATATTTATTTGCATTGTTGGAGGAGCTGGACCTAAGTTTTGTATTGATATATGGTTACCACTTTACAATAAGACTACCCTTATAAAGGATTCATAAAGGGTTTAAAATTAGGTTATGAATTAGGTTGTAAACACTTTATTAATCATCAAGAACCATTTATAAACCAGTCCTAACATAGTTTTCATACATCAACACAGGCTCACTATTTGGCAAGATGGCTAAGCCTTATATTGGCTACTTACAGTACGGATCAATGTGGGCTCGCTATTTGGCAAGATGACTAAGCCTTATATTGACTACTTAGCGAGAATCAACTCAGTGAACAACAGATACCAAGGATGCTGGCTGATGAAGAACACGAAGTAAGCTAGGTAGCCAATATAAGGCTTAGCAGTACAGATACATGTGGGCTCACTATTTGGCAAGCAACCGGTCACAGTTGCCCCTGTTTATCTCATGTCTTATAAAAGCTTATTAATGATTTCTAAAGTGTTCACAACGTAATTAATAAATGAATTACAAACTATTCATAAACCCTTTATAAAGGTAGTCTTATTGTAAAGTGGTACCGAGATATCTACACTGCTGTGCATGACATAAAGCCTCTGAACCTCTGCTGCAGCTTAATAGTTCAAATCCAATAAAAGTTCCACAAAGCGTGAGAAGAGGTAACAAAGTCAAAGCTTACCTGTTTATTAGTAGCTGTTGTTGTTTTGTCTCGGTGGAAAATCACCTTCACATGAGAGCTACCCTCCGTATCGTCGCTGAAAATGAAACTCAAAGTATCATTATTTGCATAGACTGCGCGTGAGACTCAGGTTTGGGAAGGCTATAAATAACTTGTTTTTCCTGACGCTGCAAGAGAGGCGAAGTCCCTCCCATTCCGGGGGAGCTCCATGGGACCTTATTTCGGAAAAATTATGGATTGAAGTCAATTGAGAGAGAAAGATTATCTTTCGATTCCGTTTGAATTGTGCCACGAATTACACATATGATGTTTGCCAATTTAAAGTAAAAAAAAAAAAAATGTGTCGTAAAACTGTGAAGTAACACATTTGTTTTTGTGAAACGCTCAATGAACTACATCTCCGGTCTCGCAGAACAACACACGTCACCA